CTCGACAGTTACGTGGTTCATCGTGAACACAGGGATGTGTAAGAGAAAGCAGTGCCATGAAGGATGATGATCATTTCACTTCCTTATTGATAACTTCTCAGAAGGAATTTCAGAGAGGGAGGAGAAACACACCAGGACTTGGAGACAACCCAATAGACGAATTGGCAACAGATCATGGATCGGAGATGGATTCATCTCATCGTCTTCCTCTGCACCTGACCCGACACAAACTTCAATTCTCCCTTTAAAACAATCATTTCCACTGTAGTGTTGGGAGACCTAGGAACTCTGGTGAGCAGTAGCCCAGATGGAAGGGATGCCGCTGGCTGCCTCTCCAGCAGAGTCTCCTTCATAACTGCTGACCATCACATAGGAAGCCCAGAATCTAGTCCAAATGAAGCCCATGTCTCAGTAGTAAAGGCTGATAGAGCCGATCAAAATGGTCCCAACCCCTTCTCACAATGATGGTTTTATGGATGAAGCCCAGGGGTTAGGCAAAAGCTACCCAACGTTTCACTACCATGACTGGCTTAAGGATGAACTGAATTTATCCGATCAGGATAGTCCAAGGCTTTTAATTAGTAAGTCAAGGAAAATCTGCTGGCCAGAGCAGTAAATGGAAGATACAATCCCTCCCCATACTGTTACAAACCCCATGGATTTCTGTCATATGAACATTCTGGCACCTCCCTCTCTTCTTCATGTTCACGACAATGCTTCATTCAATCCTTTTTAAAAATATTTATTTATTTATTATGTATACAATGTTCTGCCTGTACGCCAGAAGAAGGCACCATATCTCATAGACAGTTGTGAGCCACCATGTGGGTGCTGGGAATTGAACTCAGGACCTCTGGAAGAGCAGTAGCTAGTGCTCTTAACCTCTGAGCCATCTCTCCAGCCCCATTTCATTCAGCCTTACATGATTTCTCCCCTCCTCCATTTGTCTTGGTCTCCGATTCGCCAAACCCATGCTCTAGTCCCAGGGTGGTCTCAGATGACAGACCTGATTTTGTTGTTTTTCTTTGTCTACAGTCTGGGATGCATTGCCATGGAACGTACACCCAGTGGCAGGAGAGTGGAAGACATGTCCAACCTTAGCCCTGCCGCTTGGCTGTGTCACTGAGCAAGTGTCTAAATGTCTTTGCATATTCGTACCTGAGCTTATAATGGGAACACTGGAAGAGTCGGAGTTCCTTTGGTTACCAGTGGCTGAAAAGTAACTTCAGTTCATTAGGCACAAAGGAGGGCTGAATTAGCTCCGTTTGTCCATTTGAGGAGCCAGTAAGACCTCGAGAACAATAGAATCCCGAACTTAAATGGCCTACATGGGCTTTGCCTATGTGCACATTAGTGTGAATATGTGTGTGTGTGTGTGTGTGTGTGTGTGTGTGTGTGAGTGTGTGTGTGTGTGTGTGTGTGTGCATACTTGAGGGGCTTTGCCTGCATGCACATTCGTGCGAATGCATGTGTGCATACTTGAGGGCGGCGCCTGCCCATCGTTGCTTCTCTCAGCTTTCTGGCTTTTATTTTCTTGCACTGGCTAGTTCCTGAGTAGCCAACCGTGTTCAGATCCACACAGGCCAGCTCTGCCGTGAAAGAGGAGAAAGTCCTGCTGTGAGCCCCAAACTCAAAAACTTCAGGAAATTTGTGTCTTGTCTTGCCTTGGCTTCGGTACCCATGTAGGACTGGTCCTCGGGGGTTCGGGCAGGCTGTGTAAGAAGAGAGCGCTTCCCGTCAAGCCACAGGATGACAGAAGATGAAATTACAAAGAATATTTGTCAGAAGCAAGCAGTGCTATCCTAGGCAGGCCAACTAATAGCTGCTGTCTACAAGTCTTATCCTGAACAGTCATTTTAGAGATAAAATGAGATTATCTACATCACTGACCTCCAAGTACGCAGCACAACGCAGGTACCACACACAGCAGTGCTCAGCCAGTCTCCTCCTCGTTCACTTTTAGGACTAGTGCTTTTAGGACCACCGTTCCCTAGACGGTGCCTTCATCTCTTGCTCTGTAGACAGAGATGAACCTCTCTGACTGTATGCGTCCCTGTGGGAATAAGGTTTGACAAACAAGAAGTATCATCAGCTCCTACACGCCACTAAGCCTGCCCTCTGTCCACCGCAGATGGCCGCCATCCCCAAGAAAATGTGGGCTGCTCTTCTTTGTCCAGGGCATGCCGTCTGCTTTTCCCAGGCCTTCCCCTATTAGCCTCAGGAGCCCCAGGCCAATGATACCACTTCCGCAAATCCCCCCTCGGCACACCCACAACCATGTGCTACCGCCTCCTCGCCCCTCCTAGAAGACCATTCTTTCTCCTCTACCACAGTACTGATTACATTATATAGCAATTATCTGTTTGCACATCAGCTCCTTTCCGCCCCCCCCCCTCTAGTGAGGGTGGCTTGCCAGCTCCAAGTCCCCTGGCCAGGAAGAAAGCCTGGCTTCTAGGCGACCTCAATTCATGCTTGTTAAATGAAGTACTGATGAATCAATGAGGAGGAGGAAGGAAGGAGTAGAGGAAAAAGAGAAGGCCGCCTAGACAAGTTCACTGTTCCCACACAGACCTGTGTCTGTTTCAATGTTCACAGTTCAAACAAAAGGGGGGGAAAAAAGCGGAGGCCTATGGGATGCTTAGGAACAAAGTCTCTTCCTGTCCCCGAGTCCTTGACATTTGAGAACTGTTTTTGGTTTTGTTCACTTGGGCATTCTCTTTTTTTTTTTTTTTCTTTTTTTTTTTGCCCATGGGAAATCGAGGGTCTTGCAGAGGTCTAATGATTCCAGTCTAAAGGGAGCAAGGTCTGACTAGCAGCATTCCCGATAACTCCCCCACCCCCTTTTCCAATCCATATCCATACCAGGTGTGACCGTCCCGAGAGCTCTCATATTCTTGGCAGTCTGTTTGGCATTACTGTGGGCCAAGGGAATGAGGTCACTGTCGCCAATGAAATCACCACTGCATGATTCATCACACATCAGTTCCCAACTTTTGGAGTGTGCTCTGAGATTCCCAGAGCTTCCCACAGCCATCCAGAACCTGGGGTCCCTGGGTGATGAGCTCACGTTTTTTTAGAGCAGAAAACTGAGGCCCGGAGAAGGGCAGGCACGCTGCTGCTAACTTGTGGTGTTTGGACCAAATTCAGCTTTCCGGCAGAGCTGGCTCCCACAGATCCTCCTTTCAGAATACTAGCCTCTGCAAATGTGGCCTGAGCTAATGGTCTTTCAAGCAGCAAACCTTCCTCTCCTCCCCACCACCGGAAAGTGGCAAGATCTGACTTCAAGGCAATTGGTTGCCTTTCTCAGCCTTTGAGAATTTATGAAGTAACTTTGGATTTATCAATGCGGCAAATGCAAGAACCTCCACTCAAATGCAATATATGTTCACAAGGAACTTTAAATGATACTCGAAATCTTCCCGGTTGAATTGAAATCGGTTGTAGATTTGAGTATTGGCCCCTGGGGATTGTGAAAATGAAATGGGGACTTTATAGTAAACGTTTCCCCCAAATGCTCCTGAAGTCCTTCACCACCAGGAGTAACAAGGAAGCTTTTTTGTAACCACTTCCCAAGTACCAGTTTCCTCACTCACAACCCTAGGGCAGGGGTCCAAATGACCCCAGTACCTCTCAACACAGCAATTTCTACCACTGTGAATCAGTGTGTGGAAGTGATTTCCCTGTCAGCAAGCCGAGGATGGGGTGCAGTGCGGGGTCAGCGCACAATGCGCCTTCGCCCCAGTGCCATAAGTTTGAAGCAGCCCTGGGCCACAGAATGGCCCTGGCCAAACAAGTGTTTCCGGACTTGCCAGACAGAGGCGCAGAGTTGGCCCTGGATCTCTGGCCAAATCTCAGAGAGCATGAGGACACATCCTATCTCAAGGATCACAACGGAATACTTTTGGAGAGACCTTTGGGAAAGCTTGCAAGCCTCGGACAATGTCGCCTCCAGGGGGAGCACAAATAACATTTGCGGTCTCCCGACGAGGGCTCGCCCCTTTGTGGCTGGTTGGGGGTGCAATATGCTGCATCTCTCTTAGTCACCAATTTCATAGAAAATGACTCAAGCTCGTGCTGCGAAAGGCGTGGGGTGTTGATGCTGAAGAACAAGCAATACGCCAGGAGTCCCAGTTTTCCAGCCCAGAGACCCACCATCCTTTCAGCCTCCGCGCGCCTTTCTAATTATTGTTATTAATTATTTTTATAACCCTCTTGGCCGCTGTTCCCGATTCCTAGCTGCGTGGAGCACTTGCAGGCCCATAGGATGGCTCCTGCCTTCCAGGCAGAATTTAAATAGATACATCTGTATCATTTTGCACAATTGCGTCACCGTTGAAGTCGTCGTGGTTCCCCCAAAGGCCTCCACGTCTCCTCCCGGCACTGGGGCCTGCAGACGCTTCCGGGCTCTGGCCGCACTTTCGCGAGGAGCCCTGGGCTCCTCCCGAGCGGCTGCCCGAGAGCCCCTCCCC